CCGTTCTGTGGGTCACAGCACCCGAGATGTATAACGCAACATCCACGTCGAGCCCGAAGACTCTACCCGCGATATAGGTGTCAACCACAGCCACCACGATACTCCCACTCGGGGGCCAACCTCAATGAGCAGTCTTGTAACTGCTCGACCCGTGGTACCGAAATTACACGCTCGGTAGGCCTCACCCCTTCAGCTCCGAAAAGCTCGGACGGGCCAACCATTGCCATATTAGTCGCCTCCTACGACAAGCTATGACAGGCTGTGGCATTATTTTTCGCCGCTACCATACGACAGGAGAGGGGTGGGAGTAACGTCCCGGCGCTTGCGGTTCATCCCTCGCCGAATCCATTCTTCGCCTCGAGTAGGCAGCATCGGCATAGACTCCTAGGAGACGCATCCGTTCTGGGGTCTCGGCTACTCCCGAAACGATCCATCTTTCCTGGTCTCGAACGACTCCAAGGGCATCCAGGTCCCATAAATCGTGGTACAGGCGGCATTCACATAGTATGTGAAGCCAGTCCTCTCCACGCCACATGAGCATGCGGTCGTGGTGCTGAGAGTCCTGCCCTGCAGAAATGCGTTCATCGACCCGTGTCCTGTCAGCAAGAATCCGGCTTTCAGGGTAAAGACAATGTCTTTCCTCTTGTAAACGAACGCTGCCTCTGGGAAAAACCCCAATCGACTCGGATCTCCCGCCCTCCGGCAACTCCAGCTAGCCGATCTCTAAGAGCTAAGATATGCTGGAGAAAACTCAACCGCTCGCCGACTAAGATGCCAAGGTACGGACGACTCTAACATATAGCTGTCAAAGAAACGGTCAGAGAAATAATGAAATATTTATTATACCCTTGCAGAGGGTATTATGATTTCAGTCATAAGTTTGCAACGCAGTGAAGGAGACGTTTTCGACCCCATAAAGTATATATATCAGCATCACTAGACGAGTCGATCTAGCCATGTCCGTCTGTCCGTCCGTTTCTACGCAAACTAGTCTCTCAGTTTTAAAACTATCGGGCTGAAACTTTTCCAAAAGTCTTCTATCTTTTGCAGGTAGTATATAAGTCGGAACCAGCCGGATCGGACAACTATATCTTATAGCTCCCATAGGAATAATCGGAAAAAATATTTTAAAATGTATTTTTTTGGTGTTTTTTAACATATAACCTCCTACGACGACCTTATCATATAACTGCCATGGGAACGATCGGAAAATTGGTGGCCAAATTCGTGATTGTTGGATCAAAATGTATAAAGAACCTAAGCTTTCATTTTAGCATTCTTGTATTTAATAAAAATACAATTTTTCGATTTCTTAAATTTTTTCATATCTTGCTTGTTAAAGCAACATATTAAGGGTACTGTCCGCTGTGAAGTTTAAACGAGCAGCCTATGGTGTCCTCTCCCATTAAAATTTAAATATTTTGAAAAATATAAAACATCATCGATATATCGATATTTTAAATTGATATTTTCAATTATCATGATATTTTTTCAAAAACCAAATATCATCGATACGATATTTTTAAAAAATTCGACAGCCCTAGTCGAGACTCTAGAATGAGCTTTTCTGGCGACGCGTAGAACATGCTACGGGAATGTTCCGACTCCGACTGCGCAGATGAAAGCAGGTCGAATAGAGTGGCAATTTATAAAGACATTTTTATCTCCTGTTGTGACGTAATTCCTCTCGCTCTCTTTGCCCCCGCTCCCTTGGACCTCCTGCATTAAAATGCAACGCAATACAACCCTTCAAGGTTTTAAAAGTTTACCTTTCCTATCTACGCTAAGACAGGATCCAAAACTATTTGAAATATCAGATAATGCTACAATTTTGGAATTGACCAGATAAAAATACATGTCTTGTAACGAACCGCTACACTTATAAAAGCTTTAGGCCAGATGTTACCTCGAGATGCCAGCGCACGCGATAAGTTATTCTCCGGCTCTGGCTCTTCGGCTATGGGTGTGATGGTCTTGCCGACATCTCGGAATGCCTTTTCCTAATACAACTCCGATATTCGCGTGCCTCACCAATCTGACCGGTATAGAGAATATCACACACTTCATGATGCTGGACCTTTCTTATATACTCCCTTTCCGACTGATCTGCCCTTCTCGCCTCCCTCGATGTTCTGGAGGTCTTGGTCATGCCCACCCTACCAATGGTCGCTCTTACCCTCAGCGCTTAACAGCCTGAGCGACCCCTTCTTTTTTCAAGTGCACTCCTTCATTGCAGGTCAACGCCAGCCGCGGCCAACACTAATTCCTTTTAGCACATTATAAAAATTTTAATTATAGTAAAATACAAACATAACTTATCCTAAGGTAAACGATATAAAATCTCATGCGAATAGACGACAATTTAAAAATTACAAGATTAAAGACTTTTGGGACAAAAACTGGTAAGCGATTTCTCAAATCCCCTTGGTGGACTTTGCCTAAATTATTAATGGTACGATTTTTTTTTTTGCCGTGCTTGCTAATATTAGGGTTTCTTTATGGACATTTCGAATTCAAATTTTATGAAAAATTAGTCAGACAATTTCGTCGACTGGCAAATAAAACTAAACTCAAAGCGAACGAAGAGCTTGGGATCTACGCGATCGAGCTTTCTTTAGCTCATGCTTTCCCGGTTCGCTCAGACGTTGTCGTAAGTTTCTTTCTATTCCTTGCTCATTCGGCCGTCCCTTCTGATCTTTTCTTCTTACGTCTCACCCTCCAATTTATTCTATTTCGTTCCTACTCCCTTTCTTTTATGTAATAAAAAGATGAAGATTTGGACTCACCACTGTTTCAAATCCATCGACGAAAGCGCTTTCTTCGGGATGATGAGAGCTGTGAAGGATGAAATAAAATGCAAAAAAAAAGAAGAGGGGAAAAGGAGACACTCATACCGACACAGCAAAAATGTAAAAATTCATTGCATGCTCGCCTTTTTCTTCTTTCTTCCTTAGCTAGCTGCCCAAAGCACTATTACACCCACATATTCACAAGCACCAACACAAAAAACTATGCTTACACTTAATTTGCTTAAATTATGTTCTAGCCGCCGACTAACTCGCGGGCAGTAACTACAGGCTTTCACCGACGCGTGCGGCTGGTGCAAAAAAAACGTTTACTTCCGCGTAAATTGATTTTTATACCCGTTACTCGTAGAGTAAAAGGGTATACTAGATTCGTCGGAAAGTATGTAACAGGCAGAAGGAAGCGTTTCCGACCCCATAAAGTATATATATTCTTGATCAGGATCACTAGCCGAGTCGATCTAGCCATGTCCGTCTGTCCGTCTGTCCGTCTGTCCGTCTGTCCGTCTGACCGTCTGTCCGTCTGTCCGTCTGTCTGTCCGGATGAACGCTGAGATCTCGGAAACTATGAGAGCTAGGCTATTGAGATTTGGCGTACAGATTCCTGAGCTTCTTACGCAGCGCAAGTTTGTTTCAGTTGACTGCCACGCCCACTCTAACGCCCACAAACCGCCCAAAACTGTAACTCCTACAGTTTTGATGCTAGATAGAAAATTTTAACTGAAATGTATTGTTCTCAACAATACCTATCGATTGACCTAAAAAAAAGTTTGCCACGCCCACTAAAACGCCCACAAACCGCGAAAACCTGTGACGCCCACAAATTGCATGCTAGATAAGAAATTTTAACTGAAATGTATTGGTGTCGTCAATACCTATCGATTGATCCAAAAATAAATTTTCCACGCCCACTCTAACGCCCATAACGCTTAAATCTGTCTACCGCCGGTAGGTGGCGCATTTTAATCTCGCTTTGCTGCTTGCATATCTCCATTTCCCTTTGAGTAACGGGTATCTGATAGTCGAGGTACTCGACTATAGCGTTCTTCCTTGTTTTTTTCTAAATTCTTCTTTTTGCGACGGATCCGTATTTTGATTCGATCCGTATAGGAGACTGAAAGCTCCCGCTTATGCGTGGCCAAGCCTCTCTTTACCCACGCAAGCGATAGCGGCTGCTTTTACGCCTAAATTAAATTTTTGCTGTCGTAGGTCGGGATTTTTGTAACTTCTAACGCTGCGGGTATCTAAATTGCAACTCTCCTCTCCTTCTTATTTCTCAAATACACGGCCTGTACCGCCTCGGGTTATGGGGTCACACGCAGCTGGTAAAATTTGGGTCAGGTTAGGTCGAAATTGTATATATAAAATTAACGATTGATTTCCAACGCTGCTGCCGCCGACTTTTCAGCTTGGCCGCCGATTTTCCCGCTTGCGTTTGGCACCAAGATCCACATCCGTTTTCTTTTTCTTTCCTTCTCCAGCGCCTTCTCGCGGACTTTCCGAATCGCCTACAGCCGACCGCCTACAATAATTTTCCGGCTGAACTCAATTTCCTAAACACTCCCTTTTCTATCAAAAACTCACCAGTCTGGGCGCGATCCAACCGAAAACTAAGCAAGTGGAAAATTTCCCTTTTAGGTCACTCGCGAACTGACTTGAGTTGACTGCGTCTATACGCTGCCGCTGCCGAAAAGGAAAAGACAGCATCTGCCGCTGCCGACCCGCCGGTAACCTCGATCGTGGGGCATGGTGAATTTCTAGGGCCGCTTGACATTTGCCGCTGTTATTCTCCTAGACCCACCAGCTACCTATAACCCCTTTCTGGGCCTGTCACAGGTGGCGCCACCGCTGGGTTTAATCGGACCCACAGATGGAGCTACTAAACCATCTAGCATTTTGGACAAGCGTTTCAGTCACAACCGTCTCCTACATTGCGTTGTAAACTTTCTTCTGAAATCATTATACCCTCTGCGAGGGTAAAAATATGGAAACATTTTTATTTAATATATCTTTGATGTTTTTTGATTGAACTTCTGATTTAAGAAATTAACGGTTTGATCGCGGAAACTTACATATTTCTCCATGTTCCCATATATTTTATCATCCACTTCCTTTAAGTGGTCCAGGGTTCTAATGGGGAAGTATTGCAGAGTTCACTGCCTTCAACTCCTCTAAATCAGCCCACATCTTGCGAACTTCACTGCCCATCCCGGGAACTTCGTCTTCCAAACGTTGGATCCGACCTTCCAGCCCCGAGGACCTTTTCTCCTCCAAGGGCATCGGGACACTTTGCAATTCGAGGAAGTTATAACTAATTTTTCTCTTAAATGTGAACGGCAGCTTACTTACCGAAGTATGCACATTTTTGCAGATCGTTGCTATAGCTGCTATAAAGCATATAAAGTCGCCCGACTTGCATGCAAAAATCCTAAAAAAGACAGAGAAAAAAAAACACATAGAACTATTAGCCAAACGCAAATTTATAGAATTTAAAAATAAGTACCTGCTTTGATATAATTGACTTTGAAAAATAATACAAATACAATAAATACATTAAATTACTTTTATATTAAAATAAAAGGCGACAAATGAATTTTTGAGAGCACGCCTTAAACAAATGTAAGTTAATTTTTTTTATGTGCATCAAGTTATCAGAAGAACTTTTGATATCCAAAGGTTTTCTTATTGAGAATTTTCAGTTATTTAGCCTTAAATTATTATAAATAAATTATTTGTGAAAAAAAACATTTTATCGGTCCTTTTTTAACATTTATTTTGAAAAAAAATCAGTTGATTTCTAAGATGATATCAATTCACATTGACATGATATGAATATCAATCACATTTAACTTTCACTCAATTACATATTTTAATTTTGCACTACACTACATGCATTTCACTAACCTGAGAAAATAATAATCAAATGGTGGTGGCAAAAATCAAAATGTAATAAAACACGCGGAGCTGAACTTTTCTTTTTCACATTAAATATGCAATGCATGCATATATGCATATGTTCCCTTTTGTTTTTATACCCTTGCAGAGGGTATATTGATTTCAGTCAGAAGTTTGCAACGCAGTGAAGGAGACGTTTCCGACCCCATAAAGTATATATATTCTTGATCAGCATGACTAGACGAGACGATCTAGCCATGTCCGTCTGTCCGACCGTTTCTACGCAAACTAGTCTCTCAGTTTTAAAGCTATCGGGCTGAAACTTTCCCAAAAGTCTTATTTCTTTTGCAGGTAGTATATAAGTCGAAACCAACCGGATCGGACAACTATAACTTATAGCTCCCATAGGAATAATCGGAAAAAATTTTTTTAAATTATATCTTTGGTGTTTTTTAACATATAACCTCCTAAGCTTGGAAATAAGATTTTTTAATTAGTTTTGAATTTTGAATTAAATTTTATCAAAATCGGTCGACTATATCATATAGCTGCCATAGGAACGATTGGAAAATTGGTGGGAAAATGATATGAAACAAATTATATGATTTCTGACATATATACTATTGGGAATATCATTTTTTGTATTTTTAAATTTAATAAATACAACTGCAAGGGTATACAAGCTTCGGCTTGCCGAAGTTAACTTCCTTTCTTGTTTCGTTTGCGCACCGTTTGCTTGGCCAATGCTTGCTTCTATTACAGTAGCGGGAAAAAATATAGCATCGAGGCTACGTAAAGTAAACATATTACAATATGTTCACGTCAAAAGGGCGTTTAATTTCAGGAGGTAGTGTAGAGCGGCAGTTTTATCCAGATGTCTACATCTCGCGAGCTCGCACTGCCGTCCGCTCTCCCTCTCCATCTCTCCCCTAAGTCACCGCTCTGCTCTGGAGCGCTTAAGTTAAGTTAGGCTTAAGCAGTTCTTATTTCCAAGTGTACAAACCCCAAAGTACCCCCGTGTTTTTTTGCGTACCATTCGATCTTGGGGCTTCAACTATTTCCAACGATCAAGCCACCCCGCCCCAACACAATATATTACAGCAAACATTACAATACTGTAAATCTAAAATAGGGTTTCCTTTTTTATGCCATAAACCAAAAGAAAAAAATTTAAATTATTTACCAGGAATTTGTTGTTGTTTATGTAATTAATTAATTAATTTTATTTTATTTTAAGAAACTAGAGGTGCTAATATTTCTTGCCAGTAATATATGTGTACAGAAAACATAAAATCGGTTTTACCCAAAAAAACGATTGTAAAAAAACGACCAACGGGTTTAATTTTTTTTTTTTACATTCCCAGCAAAATAAACCTGGATACATCATATTAAAGGACACCCGTGCCATTATGTGTAAAAAATGCGAACGAACTTACGACGGGGAAACTTTAAAAACCATTCATATGTATGTAGAAAGCAAACACTCACATATGTATGTACATTCCATACGTATGTAAATTGTTCATACATAAAAAAAAAAGCTATAAAAGTGTATTATATTTTAAGGCTTTAAGTACTAAGTAATTTATACTTACCGTTAAGGTATATCTTAACTAACGTCAGTACTCTCTCTGTGTGCAATCGGGTATTTTTTAACGTGCTTACTGGCTTACTTTTTCCCCATTTAAAGTTGTTTGTGTTCAGTTTTACATTGATGGCATTGAATTAAAATGTTGGCAGAAAGGTAAAAATCATACATTTTACATCTTAACGGGAATTTAAAGATTGAACAAAATTAATGATTTGGAGTAAATTTTTTTTTTTTTTGATATAAGCGTGTGATTTTTTTTACTTCAATAAAAATGTTAATTTTTGAATGAAACTTAACTTATTTTTACTCTAAACTCACAATAATTATTGTAAAGATTATTAATTTTATTTGTTCAAAATAATACAAATTTTAAGGGAGCCTTTGTTAGTTTTTTAATAATTGTGTTCTACTTTTTGTACCCGTTACTCGTAGAGTACAAAGGTATACTAGATTCGTCGGAAAGTATGTAACAGGTAGAAATAAGCGTTTCCGACACCATAAAGTATGAAGTATATTCTTGATCAGGATCACTAGCATAGACGATCTAGCCATGTCCGTCTGTCTGTGCGTCCGGAAGAACGCTGAGATCTCGGAAACTATAAGAGCTAGGCTATTGGGATTTGGCATGCAGATTCCTGAGCTTCTTACGCAGCGCAAGTTTGTTTCAGTAGCGTGCCGCGCACACTCTAACGCCCACAAGGCGCCCAAAACTGTGGCTCATACAGTTTCGATGCTAGAATAAAAATTTTACCTGAAATGTATTGTTCTCATCAATACCTATCGATTCACCCAAAAAAAGTTACCACGCCCACTTTGAGGCCCACAAACCGCCCATAAGCTTCAAAAAATCCTAAATATGAACGCGGATATCTCGGAAACTATTAAAGATAGAGAATTGGGATTTCAGATTTAGATTCCGTAGCCTTGTACGCAGCGCAAGTTTGTTACGCGAATATGCCACTCTAACGCCCACAAACCGCCCAAGCCTGTGGCTCCCACAATTTTCATGCTAGAAAACAAATTTTAACTGAAATGTATTGGTCTCGTCAAAACCTATCGATTGATCCAAAAAAATTTGCCACGCCCACTCTAACGCCTACAAACCTCCTAAAACTGTGGCACCAATAGTTTTAAGGTAGCTGGCTCATCACAATCTCCCTTTGCTGCTTACATATCTCAATCTTCCTTTGATCCTTTTAGCTGAGTAACGGGTATCTGATAGTCGAGGCACTCGACTATAGCGTTTTCTCTTGGTTTTGGTATTAGCATTACTGTTTTCAAAATAAAGAATTGATTTTTCATTGGCATTAGATTTTCAAAAAGTAATCTATTTATTTTTCATCAGCTTTAAAATTATTTAAAAAGTAATGATAATTTTTAAGGATACAATACTTATTGAATACACTTTCTAAAATTTATTCATTCGTCTCAACACAATAGAAATTGACAAAGCCCGCTAGTCTAGCGAGTTCCGACATTCTGTTGTTCTGTTCTGTTCTGATGCCACCAGAAGTACGCACTCTTTGAGCACTGCTGGGATATTAGATCCATGCTTTCCTCGTCGATATACAGTTCTATCATCTCATTCGGACAGAGGTCCGCCACGAGATCGGGATCGCAGGGATCCACAGGATTGCGATAAACAACACTCTATCGTCAATCGCAACCCTGTGGATCCTTGCGATCTTGATCTCGTGACGGACCTCTGTCCGAACGAGATGATCGAACTCTATATCGACGAAGATAGCAGAGATCTAATATCCCAGTAGTGCTCAAAGATTGTGTACTTATGGTGGCATCTGAAGGTCGGATACACCAGAGAATCTCGTAATGAATCTGATTTCGGGTCCAGGTATGCAGAACATAGTGACCGTAAACGCATGCCCTTGGAGGTCTCAACGCAAGAAATTTGTAACGGCGCAAGTGGTCACTCGCCCAAAGCACCACTCGAGGATCAACGGACAGGAGTCCCTCTGCAGCAACGGGAACACCAACAGCCATCTCAATCGCCCAAGGAATCCATCGACAGATCCAACTCGCAGAACCAGACGATCCACCACAATCGGCTCACGGACTTGGAGGCCAGTCCGCAGGCTTGGCAGATTTTCTGGCAGGACCTGCGCATCAATGCATCGATAGACCCGCAGAGCCAGGAGGATCCTGTAGGACACGGAAAATGTAATTTTATTTTGGTGTAAAAGAACTAGAACATTTTATGTTTTTACACAGCTAGTACATGAAAACATGAACTATTCGGAATCTAAATCTGAAGTCCCAATTCTCTATCTTTGATAGTTTACGAGATATCGGCGTTCATATTTACGATTTATTGAAGTTTGTGGCCGTTGAAGTGGGCGTGGTCAACTTTTTTTGGTCAATCGATAGCTATTGATGAGAACAATACATATCAGTTAAAATTTTTATTCTAGCATCAAAACTGTATGAGCCAGTTTTGGGCGGTTTGTGGGCGTTAGAGTGGGCGTGGTACCTTACTGAAACAAACTTTCGCTGCGCAGGAAGCTTAGGAGTCTGCATGCCAAATCTCAATAGCCTAGCTCTTATAGTTTCCGAGATCACCGCGTTCATACGGACGGACAGACATACGGACAGACGGATATGGCTAAATCGACTCGGCTAGTGATCCTAATCAAGAAACGGAAACGCTTTCTGTTACCTGTTACATACCTGCGTAAAATTTCGTTTTTTAACGCAAGTCAATGCAAGTCATGTTGTAACGGCGCGAATGGCCCAACGCACCACTTGAGGATCAACAAAGGGCAAGAGCCCCACTGCAGCAACAGGAACAGCCACATTCATCTCAATCGCCCAAGGAACCCATCGACAGATCTAACTCGCAGAACCAGGCGATCAACCACAATTGGCTCACGGAGGCGGAGGCCAGGCCGCAGGCTTGGCAGTTTTCCTGGCAAGACCTACGCATCAATGCATCGATAGACCCGCAGAGCCAGGAGGATCCTGAAAGACACGGAAAATTTAATTTTATTTTGGTGTAAGAGAACTAGAACATTTTATTTTTACATAGCTGGTATATGAAAATGATATGAACTGTTTGGAATATAAGTCTGCAATCCCAATTTTTTTTTCAAGTGATGGGTATTGACGAGATTAATGCATTTCAGGTAAAATTTTAAGTCTAGCACTAAAAGTCTAGGAGCCACAGTCTTTCGCAGTTTGTGGGCGTTAGAGTAAGCGTGACATATTGCTGAAACAAACTTACGCTGCGTAATAATCTCTGGAATCTGCATGCCTAATCCCAAATATCTAGCTTTTGTAGTTTCCAAGATCAAAGCGTTCATACGGACGGACATGTCTAGTGATCCTGATTCATGAATCGGAAACGCTTCCTTTTACCTGTTACATACTTTTTGACGAATCCAGTATACCCTTTTACTGTACGATTAACGGGTATAAAAATTTTACACTCACCATGGTTTGATTATTTTTTGAAAACTAAAACTCACTAAAATATTTCGGTTTTTGAACAAATTATCACAGCTTAAAATTTCGGTTTTTAAGTTAGTGTAAAATGAGCAAGGAAAAATTGATATGAACTGTTGGGAAACCAGCACAAAAATGAAAGCATCTAGACATGGCACCCCCAAGTTCGAATGAATGGAAAGTCATGGCACTCTACACTGAATATGTAATCTTTTTTGCACACTACATGTTTCTCCCGAATTCCGCCCGAACAGATTTCCGTGTCTTCCGCATTTACGTCGAACTTTCAACTTACCATATCCTGACTGATTTTCCGAGCTTGAAAAAATGTTCACTAAAATCATTTTGGTTTTTGTAAAAATTATCACTGCGTAGTATTTCGGTTTTTATGTTGGAGTAAAACGACTAAAGAAAAATTGATATGAACTGTGGGGAAACCAGTACAAAAATGAAACTTTCTAGATGTGGTACCCCCAAGTTCGAATGAATGGAAAGTCATGGCACTTTACATTGAATTTGACAACTTTTTTACACACTACATGAATTTAGAAGTTGGAATCTTGAAGCCAAAAATGGTGTCCTTTGTTTAGTTGTATAATAATTGATTTTTTGAGTATCGGGTAAGCATAAAAAGAAAATACTATTAATGGTACTATGGATTGATAAAGACGCTGCCGCGCCATTTTGATAATAATAAAAATTCGATAACTAATGTATGTTAAACAAATTACATAAGTATATACTACTTCATGCGACAGGTGGGTAGCATTGCCCTACAAATATTTACTTTAATTTCTGGATAATTAGTGCTCATATCACTGATTAGACAACAGGAATGCGCAAAACAATATGCTTAATACATAAGATTCCAGAGCTTTTAGTAACGCCATGTAAATTCTGGGTCATGAATACAGTTGTGAAGAGTGTAAACGAGGCGTTTGTTATTATGTATTCAAGTCATTTACTATAAGTGTATACAGCTTATACTATTACAAAAGTGTTAAAAACATGAATTATTTTGAGAAAACCAAAAAAAGAATATACACAAACATGTTAGTCGGTAAAAGAAATCAAATGTAAAACAATTTAATGTAGACTGTACTAAAGAATTCAAGGATAATTGAATATCAACACTCCATCACGCAAGTAACTTAAAGGAAATTCGCAAATTGAATAGAAGTTGATGGGAAAATTATTTGCACAGTGCAGAAAAACGTGTTATAATATTATTATACTATACAAAAATATATATTATTAAATTATGCTGATGAAATTAAAAACCATAAAAGTATGTAAAAAAATTCAAATACAAAATGATTTAAATGAAGTACAATAAATATTCAAGTGACGAAAATGTACACGTATATCTGTTTAATGCGAAAAACTAAACTTGTTGGTGCTGTTTATTTTGAATTTTAGTAACGCATCGAGTTCTTCTGGGACGTTCAATTAGTCTATTTTCGATATCGTGAAGTGCCCCTTGCATGCTGCACGAATCTGACAATTAAGGTAAAAAAAAGATAATGTACATAAATACATTGACTATAAGATTAGTAACAACCATGTGCATTTACGATTTTCCTAGTGTGCGTAGATAGATTTTCTTGGTTGTGTTAGTGTATAATTTCGTAAGCTCTACTGCACAGAGAGGAAAGCCCGAGCACATTGTGCTTGAATTGAGAACATTAGTTCTTAAAAACCATGTAAGTATAAATGTTCTTATTTTTGTTGATTCTTGTTCTTGATTCAAAAACAAAATGGTAGGAACTAAAATAGTGAAATGAGTTGAATGCAGCAGTGCATGCATATAGATGCATATATGTATTTGGAATTCGCCTAGATGCAAAAAAAACTAAACAAATTCTGGACGCACTCTTTTTTAATGCACCTGGAACATGTACCCAGGAATGTACCTCGGATGCATTAAAAAATCCAATATCTGTAAGCTTTCCCAAGGAATACATAAAACTGGATTTCAATTTATTTTTTTTTTTGTCTAATTTTTAGAACATTATTTTATTCGGAATCTTTTGCGGTTCGGCTCCTGGATCCGGTATTCCCTTATATATTTTATACTGCTGACGCACAAATGCCAACCGGACGTCTTTGAAGTAGTTCACCAGGGTGTAACCGTCTAATTTATGGGATTCTGCGAAGATTTAAAGAACATTTAATATTATTAGATTTGGTCAATAATATATTATTTATAATATTCGCTACTTAAATTGTTAGTCTTTTAACAAGTCATGTTTTTTATAGAAGTGCTTAGTGCAGACATGGTAAAGATGCCTTAAATAAAATATAAATTTTCTCGCATTCGTGTTATATTTAAAGCAGGCAAAAAAAACTTTTAATTTAACATGCGCACGGAAAAAGTCTCAAAGTTTTTTAATAAAAAAAATAGTAAATAATGTTAGGAAATTACAGTGGGACGTACCTTGTAGGACCGAATTCAAATGATGAAAATTCGCCAATCCATATTAAACAAGGAAGAACGCTATAGTCGAGTACCTCGACTATCAGATACCCGTTACTCAAAGGGAAATGGAGATATGCAAGCAGCAAAGCGAGATTAAAATGCGCCACCTACCGGAGGTAGACAGGTTTAAGCGTTAAGGGCGTTAGAGTGGGCGTGGAAAATTTATTTTTGGATCAATCGATAGGTATTGACGACACCAATACATTTCAGTTAAAATTTTTTATCGAGCATGCAAATTGTGGGCGTCACAGGTTTTCGCGGTTTGTGGGCGTTTAAGTGGGCGTGGCAAACTTTTTTTTAAGTCAATCGATAGGTATTGATGAGAACAATACATTTCAGTTAAAATTTTATATCTAGCGTCAAAACTGTAGGAGTTACAGTTTTGGGCGGTTTGTGGGCGTTAGAGTGGGCGTGGCAGTCTACTGAAACAAACTTGCGCTGCGTAAGAAGCTCAGGAATCTGTACGCCAAATCTCAATAGCCTAGCTCTCATAGTTTCCGAGATCTCAGCGTTCATCCGGACAGACAGACGGACAGACGGACATGGCTAGATCGACTCGGCTAGTGATCCTGATCAAGAATATATATACTTTATGGGGTCGGAAACGCTTCCTTCTGCCTGTTACATACTTTCCGACGAATCTAGTATACCCTTTTACTCTACGAGTAACGGGTATAAAAATGATATTCCTTAAGTTTATTATTTTATGGGGTCGCAATCGTCTCCTACATTGCGTTGTAAACTTTCTTCTGAAATCATTATACCCTCTGCGAGGGTAAAAATATGGAAACATTTTTATTTAATATATCTTTGATGTTTTTTGATTGAACTTCTGATTTAAGAAATTAACGGTTTGATCGCGGAAACTTACATATTTCTCCATGTTCCCATATATTTTATCATCCACTTCCTTTAAGTGGTCCAGGGTTCTAATCGGGAAGTCCAACTTTAAGATTGGCTCGGCTGGTGCAATTTTTTTCCAGATGGCCAACATCTGGGCAGTGGAATCAAGTATTGCAGAGTTCACTGCCTTCAACTCCTCTAAATCAGCCCGCATCTTGCGAACTTCACTGCCCATCCCGGGAACTTCGTCTTCCAAACGTTGGATCCGACCTTCCAGCCCCGAGGACCTTTTCTCCTCCAAGGGCATCGGGACACTTTGCAATTCGAGGAAATTATAACTAATTATACCCGTTACTCGTAGAGTAAAAGGGTATACTAGATTCGTCGGAAAGTATGTAACAGGCAGAAGGAATCGTTTCCGACCCCATAAAGTATAT